GCGTATTCGAAGAAATGGGACTTCACAGCTCTTGCTGACTTCTGTGAGAAGGTAAACCAACTTGATTTAAAATAGGAAGAAAAGTAAAATATAAGAGACTACTATGTTTATATGTCACAATGCTTTTGGCTTTATTCCCCTTTCAAGAATAAAGGTTTTGCAATTGTCATCTGTATGGACAGTTCATATGGCTGGTAACTTCAATTGAAATGATAACTATACTTTATAAAACTGGATTTGTTTTAAATCTTAACCAGATAGTTGTTACTGAGGCATCCAGATTAAGGTTACTGAAGGTAAGGGAGAAATGCCTTATATCTGTTTTATGAAAACTAGATTTATTAATAAATAGTATTAATATTTCCAGTGTAATGATTTCTTGTTTTTAAGTGTTGGGTTATTTTTTCCCCTTTTTAAACAACTTTAATGTTATATCACAGTGGTGTTTGTATAGACTGGGCTTTGCTGGTCTGGCAGTAAAATTTGCTGTATGCTGAGATGGTGCGTTTGAGCTGTAGAGCCTTTGAAAGATTGGGGTAGTTTTTATGACTTCATGCTACCTTTCTGGAAGAGGATGGAAAGAAAAATGAATAGTAGGTGACAAATGCGAGTTGGACTATTATTAGTGTACATCCTGACTGACAATCAGAAACTATGCTAATTCAAGTGGTTTAGGAGATTAAACGAGATGAAATAGAAATTGTTGCACTTTTCCTCCACCAGCTCAGAAGTGCTTTTTAAAACACATGTGCTTGTTTTCTTGGGAGAGGTTTGCTAAGCTATGTTAAGTTTCAGTGGAAACTAAATTTGATTTTAAGTTAATTTTGTTAGTTACGTGTGTTTTAAAATATGACTGCTTAATTCATGTGATCAGAGGAACTGTTCTTTTTATTGACTGTTTCCTTTGCATATAGGCACTACTATTTAACAGAATGAGTTTTGTTTTGCCTGCAACACAGTATTGTTACTACTGACAGAAGATATCTATAAAAATAACAGTCATGAGAGCTACTGTGTTTGACCATCTTGCCAATTTAGTGCTCCTTCCTCTCATCTGTGGAGGTCTCTCTGTTTTTCAGGCTGTTGTGGTGGATGGTAGAGGCTGTGGACATTTGGCTCCTTTACTCCCGTTGGCTTCTATACTAACTGAAATTAACACGGCTGATTCAACTGTTCACTCTTATTAAAGAATATGTATTTAAATTATTAGAATGTTTTAAAGTACAAGCAAACTATTTATTTAAAAATCTGACTCAGGAGTGTACCACATTTGCATCCTATTGCTACAAACCCAACTGAGCTTGTCTTGATGTGTTCATATTGTGCATCTGGGAGTTTGGAAGCTATGGGTGATTAAATTCAGAGATCATCAGCCAGGGAGAGTAAGTAATATATGCTGTTTCCAAAGAAAAGAGGAACAATAGGGAAATAAACTATATATTGGGCATCAATCTTCCACTGAGAGTGAAAAGGCAATTCTGTCACCTAGAAATGATGATTTATTTGTGAAGTTCCAAGATGAAGGGAGAGCTGTTTCAAAACACGGATGTTAGACAGAGGTGAAGAGTGTGCAGCAGTATATTAAACAAGGAACAGTGAAGCACTATAAGACAGTGGCTCCTTGTAGACCACTGGAACAAAATTTTACCCTGGCTTTGTTTATTGAATATATTGAGTTTAGTGAACAGAACATGTGGAGGGGATACATCTTGTAGAGGGACGTTTAAATCTTTTCTATGATAAAGGGATATGTGAACTCTTCAAGTTTTTTTTAAATTAACAAGGCATCTGCTTTCAAAGACCGTTTGCAGTCTGCTTAAGTGAGCAGCTGTTGAGTGAAAAATGGAGTTCCTCTGTGGAAATGACCTAAATGTACTAGCTGTAGTGAAGTGTAGCCTTTGAAGTTACTGTATTTGAGAGTTAATGATTCAGGGCTTACTATTGGCTTGTGTATTTTCTTGTTTGTCCTGTGGTTTTGAGGGGACAGGGGAAATGCTTCAGGTGATATTTGCTCAGCAAAAGTTGAGGGGTTCGTTGAAAGCAAAGCTGGCCTGAGTAATGAGCCCAAAGGGAGGGGCAACAGCTCAACAGAGAGAAATAGTCATAAATATATATTAAAAGAAAAGGATTAAAACAGAGTCTATGATCCTCAGATATCTGTTTATGTTCTTGGGCGCTATTGAGTTCCAACATGTTCTTAACCAAGAATTCTGTGGTCTGATTTAGAAGGGAGCTGGGTCCACAAATCTGACGGTGTCTATTTTAGTGATTCATTTGAGGCCACTGTATTCAGGTATTACTTCAATAGCTCTGTGCTTGGTATATTATAAAGTACCATTTGTTATTTCATCTCCTGATTCTGGACACAGCTCACGGTATCAATTTTTTAGATGCTTTCATGTCAGTCTTACATTGTGCTTTCTATTTTAGATAGTTTCCTTCAAAGTTACATAGTCAAAATATGCATTATTTTAAAATCCTGTCTGTAAGATTCAAATCAATGTCCTGGTAATAACAATAGTTACCAGTTTCTTGGACTTAAGTTTATTTTCCTTTGAGATTAAAATACTATCAGCCTTAACTAATGGGAAATAAGTATCATGTATGTAAGCCAGGATTTCTTTCCAAAACAATGTACTTTGACGTGTACAGGCTGACCAGTTTTGCAGTTTGTCCAAAGCATTGTCAGAAGAGGGAGCCCTCACACTATTTTCAAAAGATTCTTTTGGATGCCAGTTAATGTTTGGAAGTAAAATTCCTATATGTACAGCGAATTAAATTTGGAAGCTTGGTTTGGTTTTTTTTTTAGTTAAAAAGTTCATAGCACCCATCAGTAATGTGTGTAAAGCTCTTGGTAGCTTATTTGCTTCAGACACATGACAGTTTTGTTGTCCTCTGTGGAATTTCCACACTGTTGTATTGATTTGTTTTGCCGTCTATTTATTGATATTGGCAAACAGGCCTAGGATTTATTCAAGTTATTAGTGGATCAAAATTATTAGTGCTAACATTTTTCTTCTTACTTGAAAAATTCTTGTCACTTGAAAGTCAGCCTTGCATCATTTTTCCCAGAACTTACCTAGAAGCCAGATGGG